TAGAAAATGCCCGGATGTCCGCCCTCGAGGATATACATCGCCATTGTTATAAATAAAAACGCCCTGACACGGCTATGACTGACAATTTAAGTGTATCACCGTGACGTAATATCGTCTGATTAATCCATGACAACTCAAAAACTTTCTGGGGATTCAAGATTCTTGCTCGTTGCCAGCAAACCATTGAATTTATTCACAGGTCCTGTGCAAAACTGTGTTCTGAGAGATGCCAGCCTGCAAATATTATAGTTTTATAGTTGACCATAGTTTTTTACTTTGTGTCCTAAAAAATAAAATTCTTGTAAGGGAGGCATACAAATTCTCATTTGATTCTATCGGCATCGTTAATTCATTTTCAGTATAATATCTGAATTCTCAGATTGACTGCTTTGGTTGTAACATGGCCCTGCATCGTCCACCATTTTTATTTACAACAACGACACTACTTTACATATCAATATACTTGGGTGATCAGGTGATATATATAACAAAAATATGTCTTCTGAGGCATGCATAAAAGTAATCCCCAAAATGTTACACATTGTGTATTTGTTAATAATACAGACTTACCGGAACATATTTATTATTTTAGTGGACATTTCTGAAGATAACCCCATCATGGCAAGGTACACTGAAACAGTTGACTGCAGATGCAGATTCCTATTTTAGAAGTTTGGGTAAGTATATTTAAGTTGCAATATCGTTTTAGATAAAGTAGTTCCCGATGTTTAAGATTGCTTAGAAGAATGTAGATTTAATGCAGGAATGAAATGAGTTCAACTGTATTTACTGTTGAATATGTATGAAGGTTATTAATTTCATGGAACTTTTCATTTGAAAAGGCAATTCAGTCACAGTTCATTACGGCGTGTTTCTGAGGGCGGATTACTTTGTTGATTTGTTTTGTAGAGAAATAAATCAATGCCTCATCTTGTGCTGCTGAACCTTGGGGGTACTGAATGCACCAAATTTGTTATTTCATGCATTTTCAATGTTTTCAAGTTATCCTGGATGCCTGATTATGGAATGATCCTGGAATTCATGCTAAATTACCAAGGTTTCCTTGTTTGTTGATTTGTTGGCCACTGGTGCATTGTTTTAGCCAATCACATTCAAAGAGACAAATGCTTTCGGAAAAACTAACATGTGATAACTTTGTACATAGTGGACAAAACTATATATGGGAATTCTCTAACACTACTGCAACAGAAAGTCAGAAGAAAACATTTATGTGTTACAAACTAGTTAGCATGAAGGAAAGGAAAGCTGTTAATCTGAAAAATTATTGTCTTTACTTGTTTGTGATTGGTCCTAGCAATGCTTGGAGAAACCTTGAGCACACCTCTGTCTTTAGAAAATGAAGTCAGACAAGGATGATTTACAAAATAAATAGACAATGAATTGACTAATTTTATTTCAGAACAGTGGGATGTCAATGATTCAAATGAAAATTATACAAACTATTATGCTGTCAATTATGCTATCAATCGTATGTCTTTGTTTGATGGTTGTCATTTACACTGCGCTGAGGCGAAAAGCACATTTTATGTTAATTTGCATGACAATGTTCATTAGTTTATTATGTTCAGTCATGAAGCTAATGTCTCATGGTACAATGAAATAGCATTAGTTTGTGTGTTACAGTTAAGATTTTTGAGAAATGTGTCCTAATATTTCTTGATAATTGCTATTTTTAGAACAATTCGATAGAACACAATGTTAAAGAAAAATTGCATTTTTTGACACTTTTTAAAACCAGAACAACAAAAGTACTCCATCATTAACAATATATGATTTTTTTAGCCAGGCTAGATTTTGAGATATTGTATAATATCTCTGCCATAGGAACCTATGGTAAAAGTGTTATAATAGTGTCAAAATGGCGACTTTCCACTAAAATACAACCATCAATTTCTCTAAAAAAAAAGGCTGGTGACCCTCAAAATTATTATATTGCCTTGGAGTACAATTTATTGCAAAATGAATAAATTCTGGGTATTTTAATTTATGAGTAGGCTTCTACCTCAAGTGTTAATTCATAAATATTATTTTAAATTTCATCCCCTTTTATATGCATTTCATAAACGAGGAATTGATGAGTTTTTTTTATTAAACTTGTTTACAATGTTATAAACTGACTGTGTTATATTATTGATTCGGCCTAAATTTCACAAGGATCTATCATTTTGTTTTGTCAGTAAAGTTTGAGTTTTGATTCCAGTGTAATCTTATTTGCACTTTTCGTTTCTTTGTAATTTGCATTATGACTGTTTATTTATTTAAACGACATAAACAATAGTGTCCCATGATTCTTTGGTGCAATCCCTGGGCTTGGAAGATTCCCCTTTAAGCTAGACAGCACCCTGATATCCTTAACAGCACCATAGTTTAGACTTAATGATTGTGTAGTTATGGCAAGGAATGTGATTGTGACCCTTATCCAAATTACACCTCTTTGTACATTCAACCCGCCTACGTTACCAGGCTCTACCACCTCTTGTTATCTGTTATAATAAATAACTTTAATTATTTCCATAAGTATTTATTGTACATCTCATGATATTGTCATTTTATGTATTTTGAAAAAAAGATGAGACTCTTGAATGTTTTTTTTTAATTTTTCAGAGGCTGGTGAATTTCTTGAATCCGAAAGAGGTAGAAAGTTTGTGAATGTATTCAACAGTGTTCGATATCAACATGTTATAAATGATTTCAATTCAACAAGA